ACCCAATTATTACCACCACTTACGCCATTTACGTCATACAAAGGAGAAATTTGGGACTTTATAATCCGAGAGAAATAAGAAAGCACTGGCGAAGTATGATTTTGACCACCAAAAAGTGAGGTGTTACATGAATACTTAAGTTTTTCCGATCTAGTGGATGATTTTAACCTTCGAAGTGGGTCAGCATCAGGAGAGGCCTGCGCTATGATCAAGGCATCACACCACGGAAGCAGAAACGTCTAAATTAGCTTTCCACCCGAAATGACAAGTAAATGGGGTGATTTACAAACATCGCGATGGAAATCGACCCTTATTCCTGTCAAAGTACAAATTGTAAATAGCTCGACGCCACCCGCTTTTCGCTCTTGACAAAGTATGGTGGTTTAGGGAGAAGAGAGATGCCGCTTGGTGGTCTCCAAAGCAACATCTCTCTGCTAGCTGGAGCAAGGCTAACCATCATATCTGGGTTGTAAGTGGAGAGACTTCAAAAACTTACACTGTTTGAGATTTTCACGACCCTCAGAAAGCAGGCCAATTGGAAGCATTCCATTCGGTGTAAGACCCTTCAACTCCAGTACGCTTTCGTTTTCCTCTCTAAAATAATACAAGGCTTGTAGCAGACGGAAAAATGGCTCAGGAATACGTACTTAGAAAGTGACTTGACTTTATTCCTTATTTTTATTTTTAATAATAGATTGTTACATTTTTTTGCCATCCTTAATCTTCTACTTCTAGGTGAGACATTTGGAATCACTTCCTGACTGAAGTTATCCAGAGGACAACTGCAATCTGCAAATCTCATTCAACTTATATTTTTTATTCCTCGGAGCCTAAAATGGCTTACACTCTGTACTTTTATATTCAGAAAAGAGTGCAATTTCCGCTGTCACTGGTGTTATCTTGCTGTCACGTCGTGTCGCCAAGTTATGCGTACATAAAGTCTATTTTAACTACTAGGACATCATCAAGAAGTAGGAGAGCTAACTTGACAATAGTGGAAATAAAATCTGGTCCAATAGAACAACCATGTTGATCTCGTCGCAGAAGGCAGAAATCTGCTGGGAATGTTGGAATCTGCGGTGACTGACAGCTGCAGTTCTACACAATAGTTGCTGAGGGAGCAAGATAAAGGTTTCATCGGGTTGAAGCTGACCGCCAAGAAAAGCCCAACATGTTCCTCAGAATGAAATAACTTATCATAGCCTAAGCGCATAGTATTTCTTATACCAGTGTTGCTTTCAGGCAAGCGTTGTTACAAAAAAAAACGGAAATACGGTCCATTCTTTAGCACTGTTGGCTAAATGAATTTCCCTTTGATGCATTTCGTTTTCGAGGGTATTCGATGTTCAGATCGCCTTACCAGATGGACGCCATGCATTGCCGCTAGGCGACAGCATTTGATCTAATTTGCGGATTTGTCGCACCATCTACGGAACCTGTCCTTCGGTTAGCCACGGGCAGCACAGGGCCACCCTCGGTGACTGACTTCTACCCGGGCTCTTTAGGCAGCATGGCTTCATGGTCGAACCCATTCGCTCCGAGTTGGTCATAAATCGTCTTCGACGCTAATCTGGATTATCACGACTCCACTTTTGCAGTTTACCCATCTAAGCTCTTGGCTAATCTACCGGTCCCTCGACACTACCGAAATAGCACCGTTAGTATAGACCTAATACAAGTAATAGTTAGAAGACTCGCAGGCTGTGTTCGAAATAAGTGATTTTGAATACCAAGTAAAACCCCCAAACGCATATTTAGTAAAAAGAATCTAAAATTTACTGGGTAAAGTGTTAAATTTGCTAGCCCATCTTTTCTGCTTTAAATGAATTGGCATCTTCGTCTCCCGGAAAAAGCACCAAATAACCTCTTAAGTGCCATTAGGAGGGAAGTGTTTCGTAATGGTCAGTTAAAATCTTTTCCCTCCTGCCATTTGCACCCCTCTTTCATTCCAAAAAAGTGCCAAAAGTCAAATTTACCGTAGAAGAGTGAAGACACGGGCCATTTTGCCAATTGCGCGTATTTTGCCCCTGATGACGTCCTTGCGTACGTTTACGTTGTCTAGTGGAGGAAGACAAAAGTGGAACAGGATACGAAAATTATTTGCAACTTTACCTAGCCAAAGCCCTTTTCCTGCCACTTTGAAGCAGTGATTTTGATCCATAATTTTGTTTCCCTTGAATTTTACTAATTTCACTTTCAATGGGGGGGGGGGAATTTTGAAGTCGTGTCGACTCACACCAACCAATCGGATCCCAAGTTTCGCATAATGGCCAGTGCAGGGGTAAGATAAGCTCTGAACGGCTTGAAGTCGTCTCTTATAACCATCTTCTTACAGTATAGTGATCAGAGGACACAATGCTCCACTTTGCTTACAGGTAGGTGCTCCAATGAAAATCACTTTACAGGGACATGGTAGTTCAAAATCTCACCTGGATTTCCAAGACGTATTACCACTAATAAAACAAGCAGACTCTTCCCTGTAATAAAGATTAACAGCGCTGGCTACCCCATGAGTATATTTTATTCAAACACTTGAAATGACCACAGTCGAAGAATAATTATGGCAGCCATCAAGGGCGATGCTCAAGGTGAGGGGAGGGCATGACAGAAGGAAACCAATTCGCGTATCTTGATAAGCAGGTCTTTCCTGTTTTCCACGGTTCGACTACCACACTGATGACAGGGTAGCTAAACTCATGTCACCCACATTAGCAGTTTCCCGTACCTTCTGTCCATCTAAGATCAACCTACTTCCATACTCCTACGCCTTGTAACAATTATAGAAAAAATAATTGCAGTTGTATCTTTTTTAGGCTAGAATGGGCTATTTACCTGCATTTAAACAGATTAAATGTCATTTCTCCTTTACACTATTTCAAAAAAATGTTAAATAAAGCTCACTGTCATCTTCAGTGTCTTCTGTAAAGAGTTCATCGGAGGAGCAAATGTTCAATACGCTGACAAGCATTTCAGTGACTACAAATTAAACGAAAGTCAACAAATCGCGTTACTACATCATTCCGAATGAATAGTAAATTGAGATTTTTTGTTCAACAAGCGTACCCTTTTCACCAACAAAGGGAAGAGACCAGGTGAATACATCCATGAAGTTTGGAAGCCAATAGGGATGCGGTGAGCAATTGAACTGCCGAATATTCATCACATTGTTCTCGTACTTGAGAATAGCAGCTTTATAAAGAGGAGAGTAGAGCCGTAGGAGCATCTCATAAAACGGATTTACCTTTGTTATTGTAAACGTCGAGGTAATTGGGAGCTGAGAATATTGTGATTAGGGCAGGAAAGCCGGTCTGCTGATTTTTGCGATACATTCGGTACCTGGAGTAGGGCAGGAAAAAAGAAAACATTTCCTAATTTAACCATTTTAAAGCATTTCCGAAGCGTGTTGACCACTCTTATGCCAACCGAATTATCAATTACAATTACACTTAACCAGGCAACATCCAAGCCGATCGCGAAATCCCATACGCACTTATCCCCGTCCACCTTGACGAGGATTGCCTCTTATCTACCCAAATATAGAAATAAATGGCCCCAGCAACAAATAGCGGCAGTTTTTGGTTAAATATTAATGTAACTTGGATGTTTTCTTCTCCATCTCAAATCACCCGTTTGATGGCACTCACTCAAGCTGTATGTGGTTGGGTGGATATTAGGCGCCAACGCGGTGACGAAGTGCTCGATGGTTTGTCGGATGACCTCCGCGAATGTGCGTAACTATGACACAAGTGATCTACGCTCACATCGGTTAGAAAGGACAGAATGTCACTTGTTATGTATTAACAGGCGACAATGAGTTTAATAGACGGTCATTCCTTAACGCTCTGCGTCGAACATTGTTTGCTGATGAACTAACTAGCAATGAGAAGTGGCAGTTATAGAAGCCATGTACTACATTATCCTCAGAAGACCAAACTTTATGTGCGTTGGAGAGTAGACCCAATTGTTTACTATGCGTTTTTTGATGAAGGACAGGTCAGAATTTGTCATGTTTAGATGAAGAAGAGCCCTGTTCTTCTTCCAGTACAACCCAAGATCTCAATACTGCACACCACAAAGTGACATCATGCTACATGTTATGACGGGGGAGGAGTGGAGGAAGCTACTGCCTCCTCCTTAGTATAACCATCACATTGACATTGACGTTAGTTTGTCCCACGTCAAAAAGATTAGACTTTTAGGCAACCAATCCACTGAGATTGAACAGGAAATGGCTTGAGCTGAGTTATTTGCTTCTAGCGTCAAATCCAGCATCCAGCCGAACGGGACAACAGCCGGTCCACACCCATGGCCCCAACGAATGCCCACTTTTGCAAATTTAACACCGCATGGGTGGAGAAAGGAATGCCCAGAGTATATTATTTATTCACTCACCCAGCAGGCAGAAGTAATGAGGGAGGACATGGCGTGCGGCAAAGTCGGACAAATTTTAGTGAGAAAAAAATAAAGGGCGATACTGTTGCAATGGAACGGTAATGCATCGTGTTTTCCTTAAAAAAATTCCCTACACCTTAACAGCAGAACAAGTTTGGGTGTTGACTAGTGAAGGCCAAACAGGCAAAGATGTAGCATCGCCTGAGAGAGAGAGATGGAAAATGGAAAATAACAAAAAGGCAACTTCTTTTTGGCATCGGTTGGTTCGTCGATCGCCTCGTCAGACGAGGGATAATGGATGGTTGTCTGGGTTGGAGAAATGGGGAGGACTATGTTTATAAAGCATGCAATCTGAGTCACTGACTAAAATTTCGGACAGAATTCGTCAAAGATTACTTGTGCCAAGATGGCTCTCCCCTTACCCCTTGTGACTCACTGGTAGCCAGGCCATTGGGCTTGGCATCGCCTGTGCATCCAACATGATATTCTATCCCATCCCTACAACTGTACAAGCAGATGCTATCGCTAAGCCTCCTTTGTGCAACAATACGCGTAATAATTCGCCAAATCTTGACATCAAGTGTTTGCTAGGGTAAAACACATTTTATCCTAGCCATGGAAGCAAATCCAAAGAAATGGGATTGTCTTACGATTCCCGCTCTAACAAAACGAAATACCGCTTTTCCGGTTAAGGAGATTTTTGCATTTATCATTCTAAAACTCCTAGGCAATGATTGGCGTAAATTTCAGGGGTCCCGAAAATAGTCAGTGAAGATTTTGCGCGACACTGATATCGGGTATGGGTACTGAATTGTAACAGGGCTCTTGAAATTATTCCAGAAGGAGGAGGAGGAGGTGACTTACAAAAAAGATCATGGACAATTATTTCGCTGAATGAAGAAGGCCTGAGGAAGTAAATTACGTAGGTGGAGAAAATGTCTTGGTGTTCACCATCTTTAACTGCTCCTATAGTCACCAAAGTCTGGGTTTGATAATTCTAAGACAGACTTTTATAGAATGCAATGTACATAAACCTCATTAGTAGAAGGAGGCGGCTGAGTTTGAGATTTTGACGGCGGTCTAAGGTGAAACTGAACATCAAATCCGACTAAGCGCATAGGATGTCAAGCAGGATAACCAGAGCATTCGTGATTGGTAAAATTTACTGTTGAACCATAAAAAACGAAGTACAATCTGACAGTACACCAAACTAGGCCAAATAAACTTCTTAGTTAGATATTATGCAATACGTTGGTTGCTTATTAAGTCTCTATTTTGGTAAAGGGGCCAATCAGATGCTCGACATTGCACGTCCGCCAAGCGGGCTGACCCCTGAGCCTTGCCAGTGGCCTTAATCCCTATTTGTGCGTCTACAATGCGTATTGTTCTTCAGTATCATGGCTTCTTTCGCCTTCAGGAAAGTCATTGGAGGCGGCGGGGAGCAAATTTGATCTTAAAGGATCTATTCGGATTTCTACTGCTGGGTGGTAAGCCTTAGCGGATCAGCGGAAGAAGTATATGTACTGCGGATGAGCAAATCGGTGACGATCACCAACAGAAGAGCTGATAATGACGCCAGTTTCGTAGTCCACCGAAGGGCTATTAACATCCAAAGCGATACTAACAGTGAACCACTAAGAAAAGTCCGGTACAGAGCTGCCTACCGTTCCCCTGCGAAGATATGAAATAGGTAAACAGGCGCCTCCTCATTCACCTTTCTACCAGCTGGATAGAATTCAGATAGATGTGGCTGGGCAGCTCTGAATTGGGGACAACGCGGCAAGGAGGAATAGGAGCGAGATCCTACTCCCACGGAACTATGTTATATTCCATCCTGTTGTATAACTGCTTTTAGGGTTAGCGTTCCTGCGACCAGCTATGACCACGTATGCCGGGCAGCAAAATTTCCCGTCTCCGACTCTAGTTCCCATGCAAGACATAACACCAAATCTAATAGAATTGCCACGAGGGAAGAAGTAACAATGCAGTCAAGTATGTTTTCCGTAGAATAGAAATTTGATGCTTTGCATGGTTGGCTCGTACTGACTACTTTGTGATGGCTAACGCAGGGTATTGACCAAGGAGAGCGTTGGGGACGAGGCTCAAAAGAGGAAGGGGGCCATGTTTAACTCTCGATTTTGATAAAGGGGCCAATTAGGGGATCCGCTGTGATACCCTCGTCGAGCAGGCTGGCCTCTGGGCCGTGCCGGCAGCCCAAAGCCCTACTGTATGTCGAACATATATGTTCTGCCCCAATGTTATGCCTTATTTCGTCTTTGGAGAAGTTTTGGGGTGCTATAATTACCTAAATTTTTGCTATCTTTACTGCCATGCCACCTAGGTCGAATTGACACACAATGCTCCTGGTCTGATATTTGCAAGACAAGCCTTTATAAAATAAAATATTCATGAAAAATCTTTAGCTGAAGGAGGCAGCTGAGTGGAAAATTTTGACGTTTCCATGAAAGTGAAAGTGGACATCAAATCTGATCATGTGAATAAGATGGCAAGCTGAATAAGCAAAACGTTCAAGATTAACCAAATTTGGTGGGAACCATAAAAAAAGACAATTAAGCGCAGTTTGGCAGCAGAATAAAGTTCCAAGTTGAATAATATCTCTGCTAGGCTCACTTCCACTTTAAATGCAAGAAATTGTCCATTAATAACAAATTGGACGGAAAAAGCGCGTTTAATTTTTTCATAGATTGTTTTGAAATGTGGCGCCATATTTAACAAATTCAATTAGGAAGTCGCCGAAAAAAAGTTGGCATTAAAATAGCTTCACTTGAAAGGTGAGGTTGTGGGAGCGCTGGATAAAAGTGGGACTGACAAAATTATCAAAGCTATTTTGCGAAAATAAGGCCTTATAAATTAAATTAGAAGTCGTCCACTTTATATGCTTTCATTGCTTAGGCCTTGGTCAACCTAGACATTCAATACCGGTCACCTTAACTAGCGTAAAAGCATCCTCTCCCTCGGAGATAAAGAAGTTAGTAGTAGTGGGGTTTATGGGCTGTATCTCGCTATCTATATTGCTTCTTGTATGGTGGACAGGCATTGAAACAAAAGCTGATTAGGTTACGCCTTTTCCTCGTCTTCTACAGTCAACTAGGAGACTGTGATGGGGGCTTATCATGCAGGTTTGAGGCAACAATCTCGAGTAAAGGATGACGGATGAATACGGGTTGTATCCTTGTTACTCTTTCCATGAAAAGTTTCAGCCAGATAACAACTTGAAAAAGTGAAGAGATGAAGGAGGAGGCCGAACGTTTTCCCACACCTATTCCAGTGCAACACTTGGAAACAGAACTACAAAATCGACATTTTTGTCAACTCTCCAATGCAAGGCCAATCCCTTGCAGTTCATTAAAAACACCTCCCGGTCTGTGCGTTCTGTCGTTATCCTCCTGAAGAAATTGTCAAGGCTGTATTTGGTAAGGTTATAAGGGAGCCTCACCACCAGCAGTCGGATAAGAGAAAATTCAGCCTTACAAGCATCCACGGAATGAGTTAGACGATGCCTGCACAAAAATAATTGTAAAAGCTAAAAAAGGCGGGGTCGGGCGAAAGGGAAATTGGGTTTCGCAATAATTTCGCAATTTCATTGTCTCCCGGTCAGAAATGCTCGTGAGTTGGTTCGGCAAGATAAATATGCTGCCAATTTGATCTTCTGAACTACCTGATATGCTTAAATGATAAGCTGATAGATGGACGAGTCCACAGATATCTCGTCTATGTAGTGCCTTTACTTTCCAGAGCATGTGGTTCAGCTGCAGCTCATTCATTCGTGGCTTTCATCTGTCCCACTGCCCTCAAGTCAAACAAAGCAATCGGTTCATCATCCTGAGGTTAAAATAAAACTTAGTAGTCCCTTTCTCTTCTGGCGAATCCATGCTCAATTCACTGGATTATTGCCTAAGTAACAATGCACCAACACAAAAGGAAAGTGCATTAAAGCTGGAAGACAATCTAATTGATAGTCTTTTTAAAGGTGCTACTGAAAGACTTGAGGATCAGCAAATAATAAGTTGGCTTAGTGGTTAAAGCTGTCAAATTTACCTTATCCTATGGTAAGTAATAAGGCACAGAGCAAGGTAATGACAAGAGGTCGGACGGGTGAAGGATAATGCAAAAGAGGATTGACAGGAAGGAAGGAAAAAACAGGAAGGGAGCTTGGACTTCAAATCCACTTATGCATGACAAGTGCCCAACAGTCAAAATGAAACTTTCAGTCTTTCAACCATGACATCCAAAAGAGAATTCTAACTTCTGTCAGAAGAAGGAAAACTTCTACCTGTCACATAATTACATTGCATTGCGATAGAAAGACAATTGCCTGGATTGTAAATGTGATAAGGTGAGTAGCTCCCGCTCCCACAATTTGGTCTTTGCAACGGTAGTATGTAACTCTCTGCTCTTCTGTACTTGGACACTGAATCTGCTCCTAGACGTGTACCCCTTCAAGGGTAGAACATAAACTGGAGTAACGCACCCCTTCCTGTCTCACGGTTGGTTCCAAAGGGCCCAGTCAAATTGCTATGCGACACGTTTATGATGCTTTTAAATTCACCTGGAATTGCTTAATTATTTTGCCTTTTGTGTTCAATCATCCGTAAATTAGGCTTTTAAGGGAAACAGCCAACGAAAGTATGCGAGGCCCAGTTTTCAGAGTGGCCAAAATACAACCCAACATGTCACTTTCTTATGGCACATGTCTCAATATTTTTCGACAACCAGCAACTATAATGTCAAAGACAATAATTGTATGGGTTTCTGGATTGTAGAAAGGCGAGAGGCCTTAAATTAGACTGCAAAAGCAACCAAGTGTCAAGGGGGAATTTGAGGCTCAAAATTTAGCTCACTTTGGAACTGACCGCGTCTTCTTCAAAGAATCTGCTTTAGAAACCTAAACAGCTTGAGGAATGCAATAGTGAAAAGCAACATCCCTAGGCTTTTCCCATTCTCGATGCACTCTGACACAGCTATAAGGGAGAAAGGACCGGTGAGCTTGGCACGTACATGACCTTGACCTGGTGTGTGACTCACCCAGCATCTTGTGCCTCATGGGCGCGGATGAGACAGAGGAGGTTGTTGGCCTGGAGGAAGGCGCACACAGCAGCGTAGGAGTAGAAGAAGGAGCATCCACGGACAGAGTTCTGTGAGAAGTGGCTATTGTTTCGTTCCTGTCCGAAGTCCTCCGTCGGATCCGACCACAGGATATCACACATTGGACCGTGTGTCGGCGGCTCCCGGTAACGATCCATCTTGTATAATAGGCGGAAAAAAAACGTAAAAGCCTTCGGAATGCAGAGAAAGATTTCAAAGCTCCTAGTTGAAAAGTAGGCTCTATTATCGGACAGATTATCAAATGCCAAATTTTGTTCTGTTTATAAAAAACAAAGTCTAAAAGCTTTCAAAAGGGAATGCAAGATAAATGCAGGAATGCAGGAATGCGAAATGACTTTCAGAATCACCGAAATTCCGGCATTCAGTGCATGATGTCAGTTACAATGGACCAGGGGATCGGACAAAACGTTCTCTCCCTTGATTGATAGAACACAAAACTGTGCATTTGAGAGCAAGAAATAGGAAACAGGAAGTAAAATCAGCAAGGGGATTTTAAAACCACCGAATTTTTTTTTTCTTATATGCTTCGGACTCTCGATTTTCTTGCGTTTGGTCTCAAGCAGTCAGTGACATTTGATCGTCGAAAGCGAGGCAGTTTATGCATTTTGCAGAACAGTATCAACTCATGCTTTATTGCAAATGACCTAGTGAGATTTGACCTAAACAGAAAAAAAATCACCGACTTTGCGTGTGGGATGACAGCATTGTGATAAGGCAAAACGACCAAGGAGGAAGGGGTCCTGTCACACGTGCAGGTAAAAGCTTGTTCAGATTATATCCAATTCTTAAAACAATTGTGTCTTGAAGCATATTCCGCTTTCATTTAATTAGGCGAATGTTTTCACCCCCCTTCCATGGAGCAACCCCAATAATGGCTAACCATTGCAGGATTAATATACCTGACTTTAGACAAGCATTTACTATTCTGGCAACCATTCACAGTAAAAGAATAGTGGGTTCTTGATTTGCATTTCTAATGTGGTTGCAGCCAGCGTCACACATATGTGACACACCGTTTTTTCTAGGCTAGGCATCACAAATGTGTGACAGTTGCACTAAATTGTGTCGCACGTGGAGGCGGTTGGGTCAAAACAAATCAGAATGGAAAAGGATAATGGCATCGATGAAAGAAAAAGATATTTCGGTTATGGTGGTGAGACTGGTGGCAAAGGCATTAACCAGACTCCAAAACTTTCAAAATAATTTATGCCGAAATGTCCAAGTTTTATGAATAACCTGTTAAAACATTTGTAAATTCTGACTCTTAAGTGAATGCAGGGAGGTGAAAAACGGCGAAGATATTTACGGAAGACTTGTTTCCAGTTTCCTGCTTTTCCAGCTCCAATTTGTCGTAATTTCTCCAGCATCACAATTTATACGACTTCTTTTCCTTCACTTTTAAGGTAAAATTTTTTGCCATTACGTACGTTTTCCTATTAAACCTATAGCCTTTTAGAAGCGATGAATTGCAAATGCCACCGAATTTTTAAACCTCAAAATGAACATTTGCCACACTTCATTTCACTGCAAAAGCCCTGTACTTTTGCAACGGATCTTTCCGGTCAAATTTTTGGAGGGTAATAATGCTGTGACCCAAGCGAATCGGGAATTTTGAAAAAAAAAAACATTTTCCCAAAAAAGGGGGGCAAAGTACCATGATTAGGAACTGAAAGTTGAGTGTGAAAATATCTGTGCTTGTGACACTTTATTACCGGTACTCGGGGTTGTGATTTACTGAATTTTTAACACACACCCATATATTGCTGCAATAAGTGTAAATAGATTTCCCCAGAAACCTATTAAATGGTACAAAGGTCAGAAGGGCCGACCACATTTCCTAATTTTGCCTTTTTGGTAGTCCAGAAAATGCGCTACTACATTTCACACATCGAAAGCTGTCGTTGTTTGGTTTCGCATGATTCCTAATTTGCATACACCAGTACATTGTAAACCATTCGAAATGCACACATTACGATCAGTAAGCGGGGTTTCTGTTGTTGACTGAAACAACGCAGCCCTGCAGCCACGTCGGATTACTGACAAACCGTGGTTCAAGAGGTCCTCCCCCCATCAGACAACTTTAATCTCGCCTCTAAATGACCCACGTAGGAAGCCTAAGTTGAGGTGAGGATAGTTGTTTTCGCGCCAAA